TTCAAGGCGCGACACACACAGTGCTATCGGCGATACATCTCGCGCTCAGGCTTCACGGTGGAGAGCTCGGACCTCGACGAGAACGTCTGCCGCGTTACGTTCACGCTGGAGCTCACTCAGGTGGACCCGAACAACATGCCACTGCGGCACTGGATGGAGCACGCGGTCGTGACGGCGCTCTCGAACCTCACAACGCAGTGCCGGTCAGTGAACCTCAAGCTCGTTCCGCGGTCGCTCTGGACCGAAGAGAGCAAGTGCCATCTTTGCAAGAAGGGTTTCAACATCTTCCACTTACTTCGTCGCCGACACCATTGCCGCCTCTGTGGCCACTCGATTTGCAACGAGTGCTCGACGTTCGTGACAATCGAGTCGGAGGGCATGGCGCAAAAGTCGACGCGCCTCGACTCGACTCGCAGCTGTCTCCTCTGCGCCTTCACCGAGACGCCCAAGCCACAAAAACAGCACACTGTCCTTGTTGATGACCGTGGTAGTCTGGCGACGACGAGTCGCAGCAGCAACGAAGACCATCGGCCGTCGCGCTACGATCTTGGGCGCAAGAGCAGCCATCCGCACATGTCGTCGTCCGTGTCGACGACGTCGTCGTCCCCGCGCATGAGCTTCCGACGATCGATGATCCAGATGCCATCAGGCCTCGAACGGACGTCGTCAGTACTATCGCTCACCGAGAGCCTGGCCAAGACGAGTCCGACGACTGCAAGCGAGAGCACAAGTGTAGTTTCTTTTGAGCGTCGGGCGCGCCGTGCCGCGATGAAGGAGCGATCGTACTCGCTCGTCGAGTCGGCGATGCGGCGCGGCAGTGTCCACGACACACCCGTCCTGCAGCCGATCCAAAGCCACGCGCTCGAGCTCCTTACCGAGCTCGGGCTCCTCGACAAACTCTCAGAGCTCGGGGTCGTTGAAACCCGCCCAACGATTGCGTCGTCCGCGTACCTCTCGGCGGAGATGATCGGCCTCGAGCCGTTGTGAGTGGCAACGTTCTTTGTAGACTAATTACCTCAACAACTATTTATGCACGTACGTGCCCTTGATTGCTGGATGCACGCGCAGTGGTACGAGGACTTCATGAATCTAGTGCATGCATGAGCCACATTTGAGGCGTAGGGGTAGGATAGGGTACTTGCGCCACGTCAAACGGCGCCGTTGAGATGGCCGCGCGGGCTTCCAGCAGTGCATGTAGCTCCTTAAAGTCCATGCCAATGTTGGCACGCAGCAGCAACTGACACTATGCGGGCTGTGAGAGACTTGAGGTACTACGATGTGTTACGTGGAGAATCCAGTCAGCGTCCGAGTCGAAGCCATCCCTGCGCAAACGATTATGCTTGGTCAAGTCAGTTGACATCTACCGGCAGTGTTCGATTTCTCTCTCAACAGCCAAAAGTTGCTCTTGGAAGTACGCCCAAATCTACGAGGCCATGAAACGCATGCATATTTACAGCACTACGAGACCAGTGGCAAGTTGTACGCGTTGAACCAATTGTGGTTGATCGATAGCGTCGTCGCCGTGTTCGTCACTTGGTGGTACCAGCCGCTCGGTACGAAGAGCGCTGCCCCCGGCGGCTACGCCAAGAAATGAATTGTTTGGCTGTTGCATGTTCGTCAGTCTACCTGAAGCACTCGCAAGTGCTTGGCAGTGTGGGCGCGCGGGAACCGGACGGGATCAATCTCTTGGAAATTGGAAAGGACCACACGACCGAATTTGTCGAGCAACTTTGGTGTCTGAGCACACGCCTGAGACGAGTTGACTCGGTAGCATCGTTTTCTGACCTCGGACGGCGGGAACAGAAGCCATTCTTTTTGCCCCGTCATGTTGATCGACCAGCTAACATGCTAGGTTGGTAATTGCCACATAAGACAGCGCTACCTGTACGACTGAAAGACATCATGGTGGAGAGGCGTAAAGGAGCCTCGAGGTCCTGCCCGTGTCGAGTCAAGTACGCTGGGAGCAACGTCGCTTCGTACCAAGGTACACAAACCGGTAGTCGTCCAGCCCCACGGACGTTGCTGGCAGCGTAGCAGCTTTCTGGTCCCACCACCTAGTAGAAAACGTGGATTCAAAGTGAGCTACTACGACGTTCGTCGTACCAATTGAGCCAGTCATCGGCAAAGTACTTGGGCGTTCTACCAAGATCAAGTCGTAGAATACTGAGCAAGCGATGTAATAGGACGCTACGTATAGATTGCATCTTTTGGGAAATCGCGCGTGAAATGCCAGTCTTTGAGGTAGAGCTGGTCGGCCTCAGCCAGCCCTGACGCGAGCCAATCCAAATACGTGGCTATGGAGCGTTAGACGCAACCAAATGCAGAATCCGTACCAACGGCAACGTCATCTCGCGACTCGTCGCCGTATTCAATAGACTTGCCGACAACCTAGCGTCAGCATCAGCCCTGCGTGGAGAATGACGCGTCGTACAGGAGCTAACGCGTGGCCGTAGCGAGCCTTGAGTATTTCGAGACGCAGTCCGGAGCGGTCACACCACTCGACGCGGGCGGGCCAGTCGGTGCCAACGTTGGTGATCACAACCGGCAGGTTCCAAGCCATAAACTCGGCGCAGAACGCTTCGTACGACAAGTCGGCAGCATCGATAATCGGCACCGCGCCGTCGTCGTC